ACACTGTTCTTAGGTGATTGTTTGTGTATGACTGTTTGTTACCTGAACAAATAAATTAAACAAAATTAATAAAATCTCTACCTTTCAGGGTATATTCTCGATTGAACAAGGTGTATCCCGCATCGGGGTCATAGGAGTGACAGTGATGGCGCTTCTCTCAGGTTTTGGTGCTGTAAACTATCCATATACGTCAATGGCTATATTTTTAAGGTATACAATTGTAAGCTAGAATCGCTCGATACTATGATCTTGTCTTTCTAATCACCTCACTAAATGCTGTATTTGAAATTTTTGTCTTAACTGAGAGGCTTGTTGTATCGACGTACAGCATTTTTTACCGACTCTAGCAGACTCCGTGTTAATACGTCCTCCCTTAAGCGTGAAACACACAGAAAGCGGGTGGTGGTCAGGTGCGTGTCGGGTGCGTGTTGGGTCGGGAGCGCGGCGGGTGTAATCCGTGTATTTATATGGACGACAACATGCCACGAGCGGACGCGTGCGCTCAGCCCGCGCTCACGACCCGACACGCACCCGACCCGCACCCGCTCTCTGTGTGTTTCACGCTTTAAACTTTTTAATCTTAACACGTAGTTTGTGAATCGTAGAACAAAGACGCCATAGAATTTTTGTTTCAGACCAGTAACTCAATCCGATGTCCTGTCAATAGAGAAAAAACTCCTTCAAACGATGGACATGATTCTTGTGAAAAAGAAAAGGATAGCACTAGCGGAAGCCAACAGCGTTGGAGGGAGACAGCAATATGGCTTACTGGACCAATCAAGTGCAAAGAATCGAGGATTTTGGACTAATATTTTGTCCAGTGTCGGGAGTATTGCAAATCCTCTCGGACATGGCGCTGAAAGTAAGTATTTTTTGTAAGTGATTGATTGAGTAACAGAGGAACTGTATTGCGTCGGGTAAATTCGTAGTGACCGCCTGGATGGCTGCCTATGGCGTCTGACACTGTGTGTATATTCAAGAATTCCTACCTATTTCTTACTACAAATAGTAAGAAATAGGTAGCAAACTACCTTTCCCAAATAATTGTTACCCTTGGTATATACTAAGAAATTTAAAATAAAATAACAGCCATTCTGATACCAGGATGTTTTTTTTGTGGTCATCCACAAAAAAAGAAACTGCCTCACTACTACCATCTCTACAATAAATTATCTTGTTTTTGAACCTCAGATATAACTCAACTACGTCAAGAGATAGCAGGTCTAGAAGAATTAAGCCGTCAGTTGTTCCTGGAAGCCCACGACGCTCGCACAATGAGAGAGAGGATCGACTGGTCAAAAACATTTCAAGGGAAGTACTTCAACTTTTTGGGCTACTTCTTCTCGCTGTATTGCATTTGGAAGATATTTATTGTAAGTAAATTGAATGTTTTTAGAAATTCATGAAAACCGAATTTAGTAGAGATGTATGACAACCAATAGGTATATGGTAACTCCATATAAAGATAGCGCCGTGGTTTGTGTGTGCACGCTTTTAATTTTCTACACACCCCGGACACTCCATACAATGGTAAAAAGTTATTTACCTATACTACTACTACTACTACGTACAGGAAGGCGCTGTCTGCACACGCGTCAATGTGTGCGTGAAGTGGTAGGGTTACCCATCATTGTCTCGTACTATTTATTATCTGGTTTAACGCAGTCACTTTATAAGTGTGGCGTAGCAAACAAACGAATGTATTTTATATTAAAAAAAAATTAAAAGCACTTTAAATGTTACATTTTTGACAGGTACTTTTTATCAACCAAACTGTTTGAAATTGCATGTACAACTTTGACATTGCGTGTACAACTTTGTCATTGCGTATACAACTTTGTCATTGCGTATACAACTTTGTCAATTTGAAAATTTGAGAACCCTTGTCTGTTAATTCACGAACTTGTAGCGTCTCATTGTATTGATATAACAAATCTGTATTATGTCCCACGTGGAACCAAATACTGCCATAACTCAAAATAGATGAATGGGAGAAAACACGATTTGAAAGTTAAAAAAATACATAAATATGAATTATTAACTGCCTCTGTGGCCGAACGGTTACCATGCCGGACTGCCACGCAGAGGTCCCAGGTTCGATTCCCGGGCCGGGAGAAATATTTGTATGACCTACATTTGTTTCTCTCGTGAGTTTGGGTGTAATTTGTGGTTGCCTATATGTGTGTCCATGGCACCCGCGACACAGGGTTTCCCTAGTGCGGGGCTATGTTGAGTGTGTGTGTGTTTAAAAAAAATAAAAAATAAAAAAGCGTCATAACTGTAACGTAAACTACGTTACAGTTATGTCGCGCTGCACACGTGATAATTTCAGCAAGTTTTTCTGATGATATTCAATGACAAGTTGATTGAAAAAAGAAAAAATCCTAACACTCAGTTATTTGTTCCAGTCAACAATAAACATAGTATTTGATCGCGTAGGCAAAAAGGACCCTGTGACTAGAGGTTTAGAGATCGTAGTCCACTGGCTGGGCTGGCATATAGACGTGGCGTTCTGGTCACAGCACGTTTCTTTCATACTCGTCGGATGTATAGTGCTTACTAGCATAAGGGGGTTACTTCTTACGCTTACTAAGGTAAGTTTTATTTCTTTATATACAATGTACTCATATCTTAATTGCATAGGTAAGCTTATTTATTACACTTGGAATCGTCCAGTTGATTAAACCCTATCACTTATTCGTTAGGCAAGTGCCCATGAGAAGTATGAGTGGGGTTTGGGGTTGTAGGTTGATTTTTTACTTACATTTATCGAAAGCAATATTTCGTAGGTGAAAACAATCTGTAAGAGATAGACTTGTCATAGAGTGTCAGTTGCATGGGTTTTGTGGTCCAAGTACCCGGAAACTGTGTACTAATACCCTTTATTATAACATTACTTTACCAGGATAATGTATACAATAATATTCAACTGTCCTTAAAAATTGGAAATTGTGGTAATTGTAACAAATCCTCGTTCGCGCATTTGCGCACTGGATCCGATTCGTATTCCTTCCGAATCCGAGACTATATAAATCTAGAAAACTCGGGCCCACTTCGGATGTCGCCAGTGCACTAAGTCTTCTGATTAGAATACGAATGTCGCTTGTACACCTAGAGATTAAATGACACTTCGGTCACATGTGACGTCGACGACAGACAGTTATTTATCGGAACTGGGGGTCTACTCACGAGCTCCGTCCGAAACAATTACTGCCAAATAAGCAATACTTGGCCAAATGAAAAGACGCGTGATGCGAATGAAGCTTTATACTTGTCTTGCTTGATATTTGTCTTTTCATTTTGTCGACAAAATGAAAAGATAGAAGAGAGAAGAGATATTACTTATTTGACAGTAATTGTTTCGGACGGAGATCGAGAGTAGACCACCTGACACGCTCGAACGTAGTGCGAAAAAGCTATTAAGGTGCTTATAGATTTGCTCGATTTTTGATGATCGTTACTATAATTTATTTGCGATTGATATAGGTAAAGCATTTATTCAGCACATTACATCACAGCATTACAAGAAACGGAAAGTTACAACAAATAATGTACTGAAAAGGTTTCGGCTCAGCACAATGCTGCCAACTTTTCAAGTTTGCAGCGCTGGTGTTCTGCCGACACCTAAGTGGTTGCGCAATCAAGCTGCGCGCGGCAACGAACAGTCGGCGATATCTGGATATCATATATAGAACAAGTTTGTAATCACTTACGCCTAATTGAAATTCCAGTGTCGTTCTAAAAAATACTATGTCGATCGTCTGCTGCTTACACATTTACTCGATTTTGTCTGATCACACGTGTCAATCGTCAAAAAAGTCGAGTAACACTGTAGGCACCTTTAATGAAGAAACTTATATTCAGTACAGGATTATAGGTTGATGTAGATATACAGGTGTGACAAAAAAGATGATTTCTTTTAATTTCTCTGTGAAAATTAAATTTTGTCGTCACTTACTCGAATTTGGCAGACTTGTTTTTGTACTTGAAATTAAATTGATTATAGGTGCACATTTTATAAGGGGAACAAACATGCCTGACTCGATTTTAGAAATTACTAATTTTGTTTATTGTCATTATCAGTGATCTTTATTTAAATATAAAGTTGCTACTATGTAATTCCAGTCGAATCATCTGAATCATCTTTTTGTTGCACCATCTGTTAAGCAGAATCACGTGTCCACTTTAGATAAATCTTTTTTGTTTCTTTCCAGTTTTTCTACAAAATATCATCATCGAAATCATCAAACATAATAGTTTTAATACTTGCCCAAATAATGGGCATGTACTTCTGTTCGTCAGTTCTTTTGATGCGAATGAACATGCCGTCTGAATACCGTATTATAATCACACAAGTATTAGGAGATCTACAGTTTAACTTTTACCATAGATGGTTTGACGTTATATTCTTAGTTAGTGCCTTAACTAGTATATTTACACTTTACTTAGCTCATAAACAACCTTCTGTCAGTTAAGTTAAATTATTATAGTTATGTTTTTATAATAAAATCGAACCTCTTAAGTCGGAAATCGAAGAAAATCCGAAGTCAGTAGTTTTCGATTTCGAAAATCTTGGAGTTAATAAGTCTGACTGTTTTAAAATTTGAGATAAGTTCTAGCAAAATAATCAGTTCGAAGCATAGAGGTCAAAATGGCAGCTTTAAACAAGGGAGGACAAATTTATTTAATGGAAATTAATTTTTATTCTAGAGAATACGTTACATAATTGAGAGTTACTGAGGTTTTCGAGACGCTGAGGTTTTAGAATTCGAAGGCAGGGAGAGTTTTTGGAGATTTAAAAGATTTCGATTTAAAGAGGCAAGCAAGATAGCAAGACTCGACTATATATTACTTTTATAAAAAGTTAGTTACTGTTTCACGATAACTTTGATCCTAAAACTTGAAACGTAGCTCTTCTAATCCTATTTTATATAAATTTAGATCATAAGTAAACACCTTTTTGTCTAAAAGGCACTTTGTATATATGTACAGGTACGTGTGTTCTAGTAAGCAGTGGACAGTATTCAAGGGCAATTAAAAATATCCGATTTATTAGAACACGTTTTGTATTTAATTTTGCACCGATATCCAAAAATGTTTCTGAATTTGACCAAGACTTTGTTCCCTTGAATACTGCCTGTAACTTATTTGTTGGCCTAAGCCCATTATCCATTAAAACCGAGAGATGTTAAAATAAGGACATCCTGTTGGTTGTTAACACACTTATATCCTCTTTGTTATGGTGAATAGTGGGTGGCAAATATCCCGGGTTAACTAATTTAAGTGGTGTAGAGGATTCGTGTCTTGAGCGATATGAAAATATCCCGAGAACGTACGATACACTAAATAAAGACAAATTCACAATCGGTAAACTTGCGGAATTTTTAAGGATCAATTTTTTTAAAAAACATGAACGTTGATTATTTGATTTGTAGTTTGGGACTTAATCATGTATAAAACATGTTTTCATTACCTCGATGTTTCGGACGTATTGCAACGTTCATGGTCTCGAAGGGACTGAAGAGGCCCTATCGTGAGTGTTGTGTACCGGTCTAGTGACAACACTCTTGCACAAATAAATAATGAAGACCAAGTGCGGGTAGTTAGGAAAAGTCGCACGGCTAGAAATTATTAACACCTGCTTCTTCAGTCCCTTCGATACCATAGACGTTGCAATACGTCCGAAATTTCGAGGTAATTAAAATATGTTTTGTATATGATTAAGTTCCGAACCAAAAATCAAACCATGTGTAAAAATCGTAAAAGTATAAATCAAAACTTGCTATCAACAGCCAATATTTAGTCATCATAAGGTTCACTAGTAACTTGTTAAATAAGTTGAACCTTCGTGCCATGCGCCAATGACGTCAGTAACGCCGTTGCAGAGCGTCATTAGCAGACATCGAAATTCAAGTAATACACGTAGAGTAGATCATACTTCCCGCTAAAATCTCTGAATGATTAATAAAAGGCATTAAAAAATCGACTCATCCGTAGAACAAAGATCTATGTGCAAGACTACTTGTTCTCAGGACATAGTACATTCTTCGCTGTGGATGTCAGCGAAGCGAAGAAATAAGATATATAAATTCTCAAAACATTTTTACATACGCCTTAGTTTGAATAACGAAATTATTCTCTTAAAGTACTTATTCACTTTTCGCTATATAATCACATCCGACTCTGTTCTTCGGTGAGTCCAAATATAGTGTAAATCCACGTTTATTTTGAAACTAAACACTATGATGGGGTGACAAATTACAAACACAAATGATTTTATGATCATCGTCGTTTGAGTGAATCTTGATAAATATACCGTGTATCTTTCAACCCGGACACAGGCAGAATTGTCCTCAGTGGGACAGAAGCCTAATACCAAAAAAAAAAATCATTTTATGATTAAAAAATAAACGCGCGTGACGTGTCGAACGCTTCCGCCATCTTACGGTTTGAGGCGTGAGAGGTGGTGACACCCGGCCAGCGCCGACAGAAGTAGAGGGCGGTCAAATTTGGCGCTTCGAGTGCTGGTTACTGCGGCCATTTAACAGTTATATTTTTATTTACAATTTTAAAACTTTTTCTGCCCAAATACAATATTTTAGTAAAATAATTGGTAGTTACACATCAAAAATATAGAACAAAAACAATACAATATATTACCATTTGATATAATAAATTTATTCTTTAATTATTGAGTATATAGCATTCAATTTCATAATTTATTAGATTTTATTGCCGACTCAGGAGCAAACTTTCCTTTCAATTATTCAAAGGTTAGCTGTTAGAAATCCCTTTGTGGGATAAGCTCGCCTATGTACAATAACATTCTATTTCTTTATCGACTTCTTAGGTTTTCGCGATTGTTACACATAGGAAATGAAACTATTTTTCCGGATTTAAATCGCGTATATTTGTTTTTTCAAACAAACCGACGTTTCGGTCCCTTTGCAGGTCCCATGGTCACGGTTGACTGAGGTGGTACAGTCTTGCGGTTATGTCTAATACTGGTGCAAACCACCCTATTTTTTCACTATAGTTACAATAGTTATTAATTAAATACCTTATTTTTAATTTTACGAAGAAAACATTCCAATTTACGCTACATTAAGTTTTACAAATTATTTTATTCAATGAATTTTTATGAAGTTCAATTTATTATTAATTAATAATAGAAATTAGAATAAACTAAAACATATTAATTAGTACTGCAGTCTTATGTCTGTTTGGGATTTTTCATTAGAGGAAATACTGGATCCCAAACTGGTGGTACGGAGAAACCATCTTCCCTGTTGAAATTAGGATGCTTTTTAATTTCAATAGCCTCTCGCAGCATCCTGGGTAGACAACGGACTTCTTTTGCAAGGACCTGGGGTTTGTCAAACTTCATTGAATGTGTAGGTTTATCCATGGCATGCTCGCAGACTGCAGACTTGTTTACGCAACGGTGTTTGACATCAGCTATGTGTTCTTTGACGCGGGTACAAATACTTCGCTTTGTTTCTCCAATATAAGAGAGATCGCAGTCACAGTCAAGCTTGTAAACTCCTGCATCCTGTTTTGGTTTGTTTCAAAAAACAAATAAACGCGATTTAAATCCGGAAAAATAGTTTCATTTCCTATTCTATTTCTTGGATAAAAAAAGTGATTTGTTTTTGTTGTACAATAAAGTGTTTACATATACACGCACAATAATTCACGACGAGCTTATGCGAATGTGTGCGTTGCACTACTTTATCTTTTTTTATATATTATTGAAAAATTAGTATGCATTTGACTTCCATCTCACCTGATGAAATGTGACGATGAAGTCCACGAAGCATGCACTAAATAATACCTATTCACTGTCGCCTTGAAAAGGCCCAAGTTATACCGTTCAGAAAACAAGTTTGCAGGCATAGAATTCCACTCCATAGCCGTTCGTCTTGAAATATCCACAACACATCTGGTCCCGATGATGGAAAGGGGGAAGGCGGAATATTTTGAATTTTTGAAATTGAATGCCAGTTGGTTTTTAGCAGAACCATCCCATAGGTGTCAGCAGTACTACACGCCTGGCCTTGTGCTTGGTAGAGCTGAAGCAACCGTCTTATAGTACCTATACTGATGCTTCACAACGGCTTTACTGACGCATTACTCGAAATCCAATATTTTCGTCATTATAGTGTAATTTAATTTTTAAGATTGAAAAAGCTGTTATAATAAGTATAAGTCATAGTGTTTTGTACATAACGGAGTCACACACATAATAAATAAGATGTTTTTATATCAACTATTCGATGCCCATTACTTACCAAGGCGGGAAGAAGAGCTGTGTTTCCTCTTCTCCGCTTATTTTAACTAAGCAGCTCGAGATTTCGAAATAAGTCACTATTGGTATCTGAAACAATTCTTCACTCTGCTTTGGGTAATAATGGGCCGAAGGCTCAATTTTTATTGCGGCGGAATGGAATGGAAGCTAATTTTTTGTAACGAGATTGTGCATAGCATAATGAACTTTATGGTCAATTGTGTAATGTACAAATTAGATACGAGCAAAAAATCACGGCCCTCGAGAATGCTCGAGCATTCCAGCGACAGCGTGCGCCTTCTCGCGCAGCGAGGCGAAATTGACGCTTCCATTCCATTCCTGAAACAGACTAATACAACTGCCTCTGTGGCCGAACGGTTACCATGTCGGACTGCCACGCAGACGTCACAGGTTCGATTCCCGGGCAGGGATAAATGTTTGTATGGCATACATTTATTTCTCTCGTGAGTTTGGGTGTAATTTGTGCTTGTTTATGTGTGTCCACACCCGGGTGTCCCTAGTGCGGGGCTATGTTGAATGTGTGCGTTATATATATATACTCCTACCTTAGAAGGGTCGTTGGCGGGCCGGAGTTGGCCTGCGGTTCGTACTTTGCCACACTGATCTAGTAGTTTAGAATTCCGTTCCGCCGCAGTGTAAATTGAGCCTAAGTAACATTCCGTAATTTATTTCGTCAACGGCTTTTTTAAATTCTTTTTGTTGATTATTTCGTTTGGTTTAATTCCAGATAAATTAAGTTGTTGAAAACGTTAAATAAATCAGTGTGAAATCCATAAAAAAATTGTTTCCATTGTACGATGGTATGAAATTCATTTATTAGATCTGTGCTGCTGTCTAGCGTCGCACTCGCAGACTTTTTTTATGATTCCAAATGACTGGACGTACAAGTCTTGCGCCTGATGGTAAACCACACGCTTGACCATAGCAGTTACAGTGGCACTCAGAGCTTTAACTTACAAAGATCGAATTTTTTTCTATCAAAAGTTTTATTGATTTCCAATAGGTAACTATTTTTATATTATATCTTCAATTGTTTATTATTGATATACATCACCACTTCTCAGTTTTGTTATAGTAATTTGTGGTGAATGGTATCAGTGACAAGTGAAGTGCATTCATTACTGTAAAAAAATTAGTTAAAAGTTTTAATTGTTACATCCTTTGCTAAGCATTTTTACTTCGATATTTTATGATATCATGCGACGGGACGAACTAGTCGTGCGCCAAGTCGAAAGCAATACGCCTGTTCGTGCCACTGCGCCCGTCACCTTGAGACATAAGTTGATAAGTCACATGTGCCTGTAATTTCACCAGCAACCTTACCCTTCAAAATCGGAACACGGTATTGCTCACATTACTGCTTGGCGGTAGGAATAGGTAAGGTAAGTACTTCCCTGGACAAACTGCTACTGGACAATATTATTGAGAAACTATCCTGTAGGGGAGTCGCAAAACTTATCGACATGGATTACCCATTAAGCCGATCAGAAAAATCTTTGTCCATGTAATAAGAGCGAAAATGACGTTGGCGATCCGAGCGGATGGAGGTTCCATGTGAATAAATGCGGTGAGTTCCTAAAACGTCACTTCAAATAATGGCGGCCTCCCAGCCGTGCATGTAGGGAAGAGGCTCGTCCGTAGTCACGCAGACGCGTCTATAGTGGTGCATGGATCAATACATACATCTGGTGCGCAGAGACGGGTTTAAAATTCTGTAATTCGCTTATTTGGTGCTACACTGGCACAATTGTAAACTAGTGTGAGAGACATTAAGCTCTTTTCTAAGGTATTTATTAAAGCTCTGAGTGGCATTGCAACTGTTATGAACAGGCGTGTCGCTTACCACCAGGCGTACGATTTATTCGTCCCGCCACTTGGTATAATGAAAAAATAATAATAACACGCACAACTTATAAACCCGCACTAGGGAAAACCTGTATCGCGGGTATCATGGACACACATAGACAACCACAAATTACACCCAAACTCCCGAGAGAAATAAGTAGGCCATACAAATATTTCTCCCGGCACGTGAATCAAACCCGGGACGTCTGCGTGGCAGTCGGCATGGTAACAGTTCGGCCACAGAGGCAGTTGTATTAGTCTGTTTCCGTAAAACTCGAATTACTCGACTTACTTAAAAAAGATTAGATATTACGTACTGTACGTGTTGCAGCAATATTGTGAAAAAATGAAATAAAAAATACAAATAAATTAAATAGATTTAATTAATAAATTAACAGATATTTAATATCTTACATAAACTATATCGAAATAGTTAAAAATAGAAAAATTTACTTGGAAAGGCCACCTTAATTAGTAAAATACACTTAACTACATTATTAGCATAGAAAAGTATTTTTTTTTGACTATTTGATAATTCCCTCAAAGTTTTTCGAAATATATATTTAGGTATTTTTTTTATCGATTGTTTAATAAAAAAAAAACAAGGAAATGTTAATGCGATAGTAAATTTTAAGTTGACAATAATTTTAAACATCAAAAATTTTTTGTTTGTTTTTGGTGTCTCTTGAGCAATAACTAAAATATTACATATAATTGCATGACATTTATTTATATGAAACTAAGTTTGAATTATTCTTGAGTAATTAACCATTTAGAGAAGACCATTGTTGCCCAGCCCTTTTGATGTGAAGAGAGACTTAACTACAGACTATGGCCACTACGTTTTGGACCCATGTTCCCACGAAATCCTTTTCGAGATATCCTGACAGATTCTTAATAATAATAATATAAATGAATGCTTATATGTATTGATATACATTTTGATATACGTTTGGGTGTAATTTGTGGTTGGCTATGTGTGTGTCCATGGCACCCGCGACACAGGGTTTCCCTAGTGCGGGGCTATGTTGAGTGTGTGCGTTATTTATTATACATACGTATAAATATATATTGACAGCACAATTAATATTATAGAGCGAATGTGGATGGAAAGGTGGGGAGAGGTCTAACCTTGACGTATTTACGATTATTTATAAACCTTACAGAACTATATTACTAACATCATAAATAACTACTTTTGCTCTATGACTTTTAAAAATGTATCAGATTTTACTTGCGTAAAAAATATTTAAATAGATCGTTCTAAACGGCGATAATTCTATGCGGTAACAAAAGAAAGCATTAGCATAAACACGTCTGATGCAAAATGCACTAACTTATTATCAAATACAGACCTAAAAAGTGTCAGATTAAAAAGTAATAAGTTTATTTTTGCCAAAAATATTATGTTCTGATGTTTATGATTTTAATAATATAGTCCTGCTGTACTTTACAAATAACCTTGTGTATCTCGATCAGATTGGGAATGTCCTTTAAAAACCCAGGTTATAAGTACCAAGAAAAAGCGTACGTATGAAGGACTGAAGTGATTGCAGGAGGCGCAATGGAGTGAAGTGAGTGGAAGTTCATGGTATTTGTCTACCGCGGTATTTGTGCGCTGGTTGTGGTTTTTTGACGGTGTTGGTGCTGGTTTTTTTAAGTAACTGGCTTTACAATAATATGATAAAATATACTACGCACAATAAATACTAGAAAAATCGACGTCTAATGTATCCATAAGTCAAAATAAAAAATGCCCAATCACAATTCTCATTTCTTTTCCTGAACTAATTCAAACTTAGCCTCATAATAATTTGTACTTTATACAACTTGTTTATTCTCCCATAACGTCTTCGTATTGTTTCCTGAAGCAGTCACCTACGGGGAAGAAGTCCCAGCATCGTTGCGTATACATATTCCACACGTACGTTTCTTGACCTGCAAATAATACAATTTGTAATAGACGGTTTTAAGCCTAGTTGCACACACGACTTAGACTTTAGACTTTCCCTGCTTAGAACAGATTTTTATAAAAAGGATTCTTATGAATACAAAGATCGAACACACAGAAAAATTTTCGTCGACCCGGTGGGACTTGACCCACGTCCATGCACACTCATACACAGTAGCATTGCTCTTGCCGTCTGAGCTACGGGTCCAGTTACAGAGTCGTCGAAATTCTACTACGTGTTTTTGTTATAGATCTTTGTACTGACTTTCGGCATTTGCCGCCACTAGTGACATCTAGTGAGAGATTTTTGAATAACCTTCTCACCGTAGCCGATGCCTTTACAGGTATCACAACTGACACAAATGTTAATGACCCTGCCCCAATCCGCCTCAAAACGGACCAGGAACTGCCTTCTGTATCCTTCTTATCTTCAATAAAACTCCTTTATTGTCTTAGGAAGTGGACAGTATATTTCTATAAAACTTATTTCTATGTCTATCTGACCTATGGAACAAGAATATCGAACACGACTGAACATAATTACAACTGAGACAATGTCAATAATTTTCATTTATATTTATACCGATACGGTGTCTCCCACACCGTACCGGCCCTGTTAATTTGCCGCGGACGCCCCTCGGCCAATCAGAGCTTCTGAATTACTCATTATTGCTTTGACGGGTCAAGTGCGTACGGCCGTCCGTAACAGTTGCTTTTCGATCAAATGTATTTACTGAGATTTTTTGCGTAATAACTCCACTAGTTTTGTTATGATTACGAATACTAGTTAGTTATTTCACAAAAAATCTCAATAAATTAGATTTATGTTCTTAGCTACGAGTATCTTAGGCTGACTATCAGCCGTGACCATGGGACTTGTAAAGAGTTCGAAAGGACCCGGAAAAAAGTAGGTCATTTTCGAGGATTTCATTCCTAAACGGTAGAATCTCAAAGGGACAATCCCGAACGTATAGAAACTCGATTGGATGCAATCCCCAAAAGGTCAATACCACAAAAGGACAGAATCAGAACTTCAAAAGGACAGATTCACATAAGGACAGATTGAGTATATTGGTGTGCACACATAACAATAAAAGCAAACTTGATTGAAAATTGTTATTATAAGATGAGAAAGGATGGTAATCTCAGATGCCTACAGTTACGTGAACAATCAATGTAAGCTGACTTCGTTCAGTAAATAAACTTATACGTATCTAGAGTTCAACGAAAACAGGTAATGATGGGCCATCTGGTCTATATCTGGTCTATTTGTACTCACCGGTGTACTCCGTGTCGGGTTTGTTGATAAGATGCATGAGGAAGAACATGTAATTTGCTAAGTTATGTTCTCGAGCTACGTGCGTGTCAAAACCGTGTGGAACCTGTCCAAATCAAACATTATTATTCAATCAAGAGCCAAAAGGTCATCAAGCACAAACTGTTCGATAATCCATTTTGAGCGACTGTGATAATGATCTGATAAAAAATAGTCAAATACGACAGCTGATCAAAATGCATTACAAACAAAAAAAAATCTCACTTCAAATTCTCAAAAATAGCGACCGTTTTGTTCAAACCGACATTTATACAAACTTGTTATCTCGAGTAAGATCACAAGTGAAAATGGTGTCACCTTAAAATACAGGGCGCAACATAAGTCGCACCTTGTATTTTAGGGCCAATGATACATTACCTTATCGAAGTAGTCCTTGCCCATGCCGCATATAAAGCAGTTGGACTCCATGTCTTCCTTCACCGACTCTAGCTGGTCACGGAGTTCACCGAACGCGTCGATGATCAAACCTGTGCACACGCATTACTTCAACAATTAATTTGTTATATACCAAGATTATTTACTCGCTGTAGACTTTGGCATAAATTATAGGAGCGGGACTGCGATATTGCGCTCCCTCTCCCACTTGTTTGGTATTGAGCGACGCATGCCCGTTACCGATAAAAACAAATATAGCACTTTTATATTATTTCAATACCACTGTTATTTTTATTTATTTATTTATTTCAGGCCACGTGACCCATATAATATATACCTTAAGGCCCAACATACATACAATATAATAAAACACTATTTCTAAGAAATCTACATGAATTGCATTTACTATTGTGTTAGAATTTTTGGCGAAAATTAAAGATCCCATGGAATTAGGTAGTTTTTTGTGCGCATTCTTGACGCTACTACTTTTAAGTTTTTAATATTGTTTTGGCAATTAAATTCTAAGTACCTAGATTAGAACCAATTTAGACAAGTTCATTTCCCCAAATTGGTCCTACCGGGAATCGAACCCGGGAATCCCTCATTCAGCGCCCACAGCGCAGACCATTAGGCCCGAGGTTGAGCTATTATTAGCCATATATATTATATATTAGCCATACATATATCGCACTGTTAATACAACAGTGTATTAACTCAAAAGTGGACTTTCTCAGAATCGATGAAAAACTAATTACTCACTTCCCGCAAAAAATCATTAAAATTTATGTATATGTTATAGTTTGTTATAGACAATTCAAAAATGTCCTAAATATATCATAAAAATAAAATGGAAAAAATAATTTCATATTTTTGAATATGGATTATTTTGGCGAAAACCAGCTCATGTAAAGTGTATCTTATTTTGAGTTAAGTAGATATATTTTGATTATTTCTTACAATATTCTACCGACGGTTTCTTTGACTTGTAGAGAATAAAATATTACGTTCAGTAATGATATAATATTAAATTTCACATATTTTGAGTTACAACACTATTGCAATAGCAGTGCGATATGTATGGACTAAGAAAAGCTGATTATGTTTTCGAGATTTGAAAAGCTCTCTTAATAATGCTTGTTTCAAATAACACCTTTAATCTTGTATTAGCGCGAGCATAATACTAACCCTGAAGGATGGCGAGCAGGATGACAATGATGAAGAAGAAGAAAGAGATGTCGAAGATGATCCTCCAGACTTCGGAGTCATCTCCATCTGGCGGTTCCAGCTCGTCGCCAATACCGCCGCCGGCGCGGACGCCTTTGTACAGGTTGAACACGAAGCACTGCGCACCAATTACACAGGGTTAGTTTGTAAAATACTATATGAATACTAGCAACCTTCCTGAACTATATTACTAACATCATAAACAACAATTTTTGTTCAAAGACTTTTACAAAACATAATGAATGAATGAACATAATACATTTACCAAAATTAAACTTTAAACGTTGTACTTCTGACACTTTTTAGATTTGTATTTTTGCAACGCCTCCCGGGTGTTGTCTTAGGGCGCAAAGAATTACCATTTAGAGGGAACTATTTAAGCCGAAAAATCCGTACAAAATCAGCACAGAAGGTCAAAAAGTCGGACATGTTCGGACACATCCTGTATAACTGACTTCGTGGACGAGCAGTTACCGGGGCCCGGTAGAAATATTTTTATGGCCTACATTTATTTATCTCGTGAGTTTGACTGTAATTTGCAGTAGTCGATGTGTGTCTCCATGGCATCCACGATACAGTTTTTTCCTGCGGGGATGGTATGGTCACAGAGTGTAACGAAAAACGTTACATACCCTTTTTTTCTACGTAATCGGTTAAACGAGTGCTAATGCTTACGCGTGGATTCTCTGCGGCTCGCATATAAAAGGAGTCGCGACGGCGTAGGCGAAGGTAGGGAACCCAGGTTACAAGAGGTCATAAGTTACGCATGTATGTGTTGGCAAGTAAACGTATCTAGAGTTCAGGAAGTCATTTGATGTCAGCGTAATATTGCTAGATCCTCTATGAACTCACCGTCAACATGTCATGACAGTTTCTGTTAACTTCGTCGTCTTCTTCTTGCACGTAGAACTTTCGGAAGAAGTTGAACGCGATCACCGTGTAGATGTACACGATGATTGTTAACAGCATCACCGTTAACACCAGCTGGAAAAGACAGGCAATTGTTAGAAAATATTGAGAAAAATCGTTGAATAGACAATTTGGCGAAATTAATGTTTCAAAATTTTGTTATTATAAAAAGCAAATTAAAAAGCATTTAATTTTTACTATACAGGTTGCGGGGCGGGGCGGGAACTTCCTTATTTTCAAAAGTCATAAAAGGTATCGGAGATACCGTTTTTATTCTTTTTTTCGTTACATAGGCACATTTCAAGATTTGGTTAATTACTTCTTGAAAATGATATCTAGAAGTAATGGGAGTCGAAATCGGAACTTTCGGACGATTTTGTTCAACATTTCTGGTCATGTAAGGCCCTGGTTTCTTTTTCCACACACTACCGGTCTCCATAAACGAGTCCATCGATTTTTGATCAGGAGCACGACCGCCAGACGCGATATTAAATAGTCTCCTGAATGCACTCTGAGACGCTATGATCGAACGACCGTTGGGAAAGTACGTCGCCACGGCGAACGCGCGCTTCTCTCTCGTCCATTGTATGGTCGTTACTAAACTAAACTAACCGTCAAACAAAACGTTACGCTGCGCCCTTTCGAATGCGCACAATCCCACTCTCCAATAATCAACGGCCACTGTGTGGCATGCGTTTCAAAAAAGGAAGTTCCCGGGCCGCACACTGTATTGAGGCCACAGTCAGCCGAGTAATGTGGGTTATTGCTCGGCTGACTGTGGGGCCTAAAATGTGTAAATGATGATGATGACGACCATACCTGCTTTCCGTTATGCGTGACAGACTGCAAGATGGTCCTTAGCGTCTTAAAACCAACAGCGACATCGAGCAAATGAGCGGCGAAGAAGAAATTGTTAAAATTGCCCATCACCGAGAAGCAGAAGTACCACAGCGAGTAAAGGAACGAGTTATCGGTGAACGTCACTCCTGCTTTCCACACTTGGTAACGCCAGTCGATGTTTATAATGCTGAAAGCAAAAAAAATATGAATAAACAATTTAGGAGATGAAACTATTTTTCCGGATTTAAATCGCGTTTATTTGTTTTTTCAAACAAACCGACGTTTCGGGCCCTTTGCAGGTCCCATGGTCATGGTTGACTGAGGTGGTACAGTCTTCAACCAGTTATGTCTAATATTGATGCACACCACCTTATTTTTTCACTATAGTTACAATAGTTATTAATTAAATGCCTTATTTTTAATTTTACAAAGAAAACATTCCAATTTACGCTACATTAAGTTTTACAAATTATTTTATTGAATGAATTTTTATTAAGTTCAATTTATTATTAATTAATAATAGAAATTAGAATAAACTAAAACATATTAATTAGTACTGCAGTCTTATGTCTGTTTGGGATTTTTCATTAGAGGAAATACTGGATCCCAAACTGGTGGTACGGAGAAACCATCTTCCCTGTTGAAATTAGGATGTTTTTTAATTTCAATGGCCTCATGGCAATGGTTTGTTTGAAAAAACAAACATACGCGATTTAAATCCGGAAAAGTAGTTTCATTTCCTATGTGTAACAATCGCGAAATCCTAAGAAGTCGATAATAAACAATTTGAATAATTTTCAGATATTACTGTATTAGAAATTAAAATACATGATATAGCTCCAACTCGATAAAAAATGAATTTGACAATTAAAAAATCTAGCTCCTTTGCATGTTAAAGAGCAATGTTTCCGTTGGGTCAAATTGCTAAATTATTTATCTAGGCGCTACTTTTGAATGAAGATTTTCATAAAATTATGTATGTGTAAAACACTTACTAATGGAAGAATCCCTTGTTTCCCTCTTCTTCCTGTGCGGTGAAGGACGTTTTCTCCATCCCAAGCATGTTCGATATCGAGTCAAAGTCGTAAGTTTCCGAGTATTTCACTCTCACTTTCTTCTTTATGAACTTGTCCCAGTAGTTTACGGGGAATGACCTAAAATAAAAAAATCAAAGCGGTATTATTAAAAAAGTACAAGAAAAAACATAACAAAAAAGGTAAAGAAAATTCCCATTATTAACAATTTGCAGTGCTTGTAGATAAAAGGGAATTATCATAAATGAAAAAATAAAAACAAAAGTGAAATTTTAAAAAACCGAAAAAATTTAAAACATTTTGTTAAACTAGTTTGTTACACTAGAAAATTTTTTTCCAACTGACTTAATTTAACAAAAATCTGATAACACAAAAATTATAAAATTAAATGAATTATTGTTTAGGTAGATAAAAAGTACAAAATCTTTAAATTTTTTGACTGATTCTATTTCAGTGAGTTCGTTTATATCTGAACCAAACACATCAAATACAACAAACATGGCAACATTATTTTTCAAATATGTGACATTAGTAAATATCAGTTAGCTATCTCTAATTAAAAACCCCGACTATACAATATAACAGAGACTATTAATTGTCTGTTGCCACGGTGAGGCATCTTATAGCTGGTTCGAGTCCAGTCGTATCGATGGAATTTTTCGTTGCGCTTGTTCAATATTCGTATCAGTAATAACATGGTGGAGTACTTTCACAAAAAATATATGAATATCTTTGTTTTGAAGTTTTTGTTGATTTTTTTAGAAATAAAAATAAAAATTTATATTTAAATTTGAATTTTAACAAATTAATTGTATAATAATGTCCCGCAGACTTAGTTTATTCATCACGGCTAGGGTTGGCTGGAAGAGATCTCCTCTAGAGACAAGCTCAGCGGATAAATAAACTACTTATCAACACAAATTTAAATTCGATCGTTATAATTAACCTTCTTTCTCGAGGACACTGTTATGGTCACTTAGGATTTACTTTTGAGTTGCCGAAAAAAAACAAAACTGTGGTGCCCTTCACATATTTTTCTCCTAAAAATTAGATAGCAGTAAAAATGCGTAACACTCAGGATATATATTAGTTCAAAAATTTTAGGCAATGTTGCAGCATTGTACGGTAATAAAAACACTATATTTAATAAAATAAGTAGAGATTATTAAGTTTACGGTGTAATGTCACTTACTTGGCAGATATGACAAGTTTGTCCCAATGGCTCTTCAAATCATCGTCTTCTGGCTGCTCCGCGATGTACAACCCATCGAATTCTAGTCTGCGAGCAATCTCTTTCTCCCTCTTGAAGATGGCTAAAGGCACCTATCGGTAAAATGTCCAGGTTTAAATACGAAGTCCGAGTTTTTTCGAATCGTGCGCAGTTTGAATAAGATGAAGAAGAAACTTTTTAACAATAAGCAACTCTTTAAGCAGCAGTAGAGAGCTCCTTGTGAAAAAATTCATCCAGGGTAGTACTGCCACCTTACTTATTTCTGTCATTACGCAGTAATGCTGACATCACTGCGATCCGGTTTTGAAGGGTAAGGATGCTAGTAAAATTACAGGCACATGGGACTTGTCAATTTATGTCTTAGGTTGCTAACAGACCGACTGTATATTTGCAGTTAACTGCATGCAGTCGAGACTTCAACTGCGTGCAGTCGAGACTTCAACTTCAAGCGTCGATGTGAACGATAGTCCGAAAATGAAAAGTACATACTTATGTCTCAGGGTGACGGGCGCAGTGGCAGTGCCCCTCACATCTTTGCGATTTAAAGCTCTGAGTGGCATTGCAACTGTTAAGGCCAGACGTGCAACTTACCATCAGACGCACGACTAGCAACTAGCGTGGTGGGCTATAATAATAACGCAAACGCTCATAGTCCCGCGCTAGGGATCCCCTGTATCGCGGGTGCCATGGACATACATAAATAACCACAAATTACGTCCAAACACACGAAATAAATAAATGTAGGCCATACAAATATTTCTTCCATAGAAATATACCAGGGATCTCTGAGTGGCAGACCAGCAGCAGTAAGGTAAACCGTTTGGCCACGGAGGCAGTTTCATAACGATGTTTTCCTTCACTCAATAGCTCACGGCAAATTTCAAATTGAATTCCGCACATATAATTCAGAGAATATCAAGAGATCCGAGCATGGATTGGAACCCACGGCCTCTGCTTGAGTCACCATGGCATTTGTTTATAATAATGTGCAAGAACTAATTAAAAAAAAGTTAATTTCAAAGTATGTCCCGCAGGCAATTAAACCAGGAACCTCCTCATCTAAAAGAGCGCAAGTCGCTAGGCGTCCCTATTATTTTAGTCTGATTTTATTGTTCGTTAGTGTACAAACGTCAATTACCTTAAGATGGTAGTAACCAATGAGGATAGCTAACGATACGATAGAGTGCAAAACAGCGGCAATATTTATGACGTGTTCCATGTAGAAGAAATCTTCATCGATGTGCACCACTTCTAGCGGGTCCTCCTCCCCTGATTCTCCACTGCCTCCTGGAATACGCAATAAACGGTATATTTATTCCATAAACAGGGTTATTTGAAAACACTATCAACCTCGCAGTACTATATTGCTAACATTATAAACAACTTTTGTTGCATGATTTTTTTGAAAACAAAACTTTTAAGTAATTTTTAAGTTTTTAACCGACTTCAAAAAAAGGAGGAGGTTCTCAATTCTACTGTATGTTTTTTTT